AAGGAGGAGCAGTAACATTTCCCCACTGTTTTTAGACCAACAAGGGATAGGGAAATAAACCAGTCTCTATGTCCTTTCTAAACCAATGATTATATGGCCATCAAAAAAATGTTCTAATTTTTTTTTCTTTTTTAATTTACTTCAGAGAGGAAGGGAGAGAGAAAAAGAGATAGAAACATCAATGACGAGAGAGAATCACTGGTTGGCTGCCTCCTGTACTCCCCACACTGGGGATTGAGCCCACAACCCAGGCATATGCCCTGATGGGGAATTGAACTATGACTTCCAAGTTCATAGGTCAATGTTCAACCACTGAGCCACGCCTGCCAGGGGGCTTCCTGAGATGAGATGAGAGAGAGAGCGAGAGCGAGAGAGAGAGAGAGAGAGAGAGAGAGAGAGAGACCTTAACTAAGAACAGAATTCTTGACAGAGATTTAGGTATAAGTGAAAATATAATATTATCTAAGAGCCTCTTTCATAATAAGTTGCTTTCCAATATTTAATAGTCAGTGATTCTCAAAGCCTGGGAACAGAAATTGGTGGAAAGACAGGAGAAAAACAATAATGACAAAAATCTAAGGACTGTCTAGTTACAGATAGGTTCAACCATTCATAAATAATGTTTAGGGCCTCACCAGGCATTTAGAGGTGTAGGACATGGATACCCTCAACAAATTGCTTATGTCAAGCCACTGAGCTTTAATTCAATTATATCTCCAATCTATTTGAGCTCAACTTTCCCATTATAAGTTGGGTTCACATTGTTAGCCTCTGGAAAATTTTATTTTGCACCTAATAGTAAAGCCAAAAACTTTGCCTAAGAAATAGGAAACCTGAGTCCAGATAAGCAGTAAAAACTCAATAACTTTTTTGGTAAACCAGAAACCACCCTATGTAGATTTTCCATTTGGTCCTCTTTTGTACCTTGTCACCTTCATGCCTCTTACACTCCACTTGAGCAGTGGTCTTTAATTGCTTTGTGGCCACAGACACCTTTGGAAAGATGATGGAAGTTATGATCTTCATCTGCAGAAGCTTAGAAAATTTTGTACATACTTTCAAGAGTTTTCCAAAAGCTAGCAGAGCCACTGTTTTGATCCAAAGACCCAAGATTACGAGAAATATTTAATTATTTAAAATTAAGGAGATAAAGTTTCTCTGGGATGTGTGTAGGAAGAAAATCTCCAAGATACCTTAGAGAAAAAGGTGGCAAGGTGAGGTTTCCTTCCCATGACAGAGACCCATGGAAAATCAAACACCCCAGGCTTCTCTGGGTTTGTGGGCTTTGGGAATGAGCCTTTGGGTCCCTGGATCTTTGGAGCACCCAGCGGGTCTTCAAAGCCATTTGAACCATTTGTTCATCAGTGAGCATGGCAGTCAAGAGAAGGCTTTGACAGGACTGCATCATTTCAAATATTTAAGCAACAAATTCAGGTAAGTTATTGTAAGAATGGTCATAACTTTCACCACTAGGAATTCTCAGGAATTTTTCCTTTAAAAAGTGGCTTACATTAACAAAGAATAAATCAGTCACTTTTAAGTTAAAAAGAAATGTTCAAAGGAACTCAAAAAGTTTGCCTCCCGGCAATTTATCTCCCTAGCAATTTAGATTCACATAGCTAACTGGCTCGACTACTTTCTCTGCCTCTCTCAAAGGCTCTAATACAAGATGTCAATGTTTCAAATATAGGAAAATGTAAGATTTTATTTAGAAGTGCTCCCAGCAATTCCCATAGAAATTCTACACTTACAGGAAGTTTCTACAATCTGCACTATCCAAAATAGTAGCTGCCAGCCACATGTAACTATTGAGCACTTCGTATGCGGCTTGTGGGACTAAGCAATGAATATCTGCTTTTATTTAATTTTAAATAATTGTACGTAAGCTTAAATAATCACATGTGGCTAGTGACTACCAAATAGGACAGCATAGCTCCAAACTATTATATTAAAGAAAAGAGTTGAATGCTGGGCTCTCTGGTCTTGAAGCAACAAATCAAACCTTGGACTAAATGTGATTAGAGCAAATTTTTAATTCTTAGAGAAATGAGAGGCAGGGATAGGTAGTTTTGATGATGTGAAAACCCCACACAATTCCATGTTCTTACTGAGCTCAATGACTCCATCGCTGTTCCCCACTAGAACCTATATTGCAATTGCAGAAGTGCTCAGTAAAAGTAAATGGCTTTACTTTCAGGTCCTTTCTTTACCCCTTTTCCCTAGGGATGCAAAGGTCAAACTTGTATTGACAGGTGGAGGAAAAAAAGAAAGAGGTGGCTTGGATAGTTGCACGATTGTGGCATCAGCTCCCAATAGCCACGGGGTCTGCTTTGCACAAGTCTGGTTTGCTCAGCCAGTTCCACCCAGGCACCTGGCAGATGGATGCATGGGGGGGCTTACCGTGATGGAGGACTTCCCTGCCGTGTTCCCATGCTTCAGCAAGGATTTGGACAGCTTCCTCTGGGAAACAATCTGCACAAGGAAACAGAAGGTGGAGACAGTGGTCATACAGCTGCAGGTCTACTTAATGAAGTTCCCTCTGAAAGTTCTCCATTCAGTTCTGCCTGAAGTGGTGACATCCATGTGCATTGATTTTCCAAGGACTTTCCACAAACCTCTCCTAAAAACAGGTATTCCCCTTTTCCTCTTATGGTGTGTTACATAAGAGAATGTGTGATGAATGACAGATAACTCAGTCAGTTTAGGAGGTGGTTTAATTGTTGCTGAGGGATTTATATCAAAGTTAGATGGCAAACATTGGATCTATGTACATGAAGATAAAATAGATGAAGTTTCAGAATGATCTCAAATCAGTACTACAACCTCTGTGTACAGTGGGGGGCTGGGGGTACAGCGAGGGAAAGAAAACCAGGATCTAAATATACACATTTTGTATCTATTAGTTCTCGAGTTCTATTTTTAATATATTCATTAGGAAGCTATAAAATAAGTCATCAGGAAACTGATGCTCAGACAAGCCAATATAAGTAATTGGGGTTATCTCCATGATTAAGTGTTAATGCACAACGTGCAATGACAATTAAAATTGTTTATATTAGGAGCTATTTTTAGCAGAACCTGCCCCATCCCCCTCCTCCCCTCTTCATTTTTTTTTTTTTAAAGAGAAGTATGATAAGGCTGATGGATATGCTACCCATGATTCCCAAAGGAGAAAAGGCTTAAAAGAATCAAGTGAAAAGCCAGGCTCGTGCCTAAGAGAGAACAAAGTCACCCCTTGCATTAGGCAGCTTCTGCCTAAGGCAACTCCCAATGATCCTCACCTCCTGTTATTCACCCCACTGTGTAATTCCATCTCCTGGAGTGTGGAGAGATCCAATGACGTGTTTCTAATGAACAGAATACCATAAAAGTGATGGGATGTCACTTCTGAGATTAAGTTACCAATTGGATGTGCCGGTCTTCTTGCTCACCATTTCTGGTTCTCTCAGAGCCCCCTAGGGGAAGCAAGCTGCAATGCTATGAGAAGCCCTAGAGAGCAGCCCATGTGGACAAGACTTGATTTTCAGCCAACAGCCAGCGAGAACCTGAGGCCTGCCAACAGCCACAAGAGTGGGCTCGGAAGCACGTCCCCCCTCAAGTTGAGTTTTTGGATAACTCAACAGCAGCCTTGAGAGACCCTGCTCCAGAGGACCCAGCCATGCTGCCCCCTCACCCCTACCTGATTCCTGACACACAGAAACTGTGAGATGTTTATTTTTTAAAAGTTGTCAAGTTTGGGGGTGACTTTTTAATGCAGTATTAGGTAACAATACACATATTATTTACACAAAGAGAAGAAAGGCAATCACTCTGAAAAGCAGGAAGACAAACCTATTCTCTGAAATTCTTATATCTTTTTGTCTCCGTGTTAGAGCAATGAAAATTCTGCGTGTGCTAGAGTCAAATGCAAAAAGTTCAGAGAACTTCCATAGGGCAAGCAGATTTAAAGACACTATTGTTTAGTTAGCTCTGACTGGAAGAGAAAAGAGTATTTATATTAAAAAATCACCTCGTGATGATGGTGATGATGACAAGGACAGCAATGGGAACTCCCATTTAAGCCGTGCATATTATGTGGCGGATGCTTTATTCACTCTACAAATATTGACTTAGCCCTTACTGAATGCTGGGCTTGGTGCTAGGCATGACGAATAGAATGGAGCTTATGTTCTAGTGAAGGAGATTAGAATTAACCAAATGGTCAAATGAACAAAGAGAACTCGTCCCAAAGGAGTGGCACTGGTGGTGGGGAAATGAATGCACAGATGGTGGGGTGGATGGGAGTAGTCCATGTAAGAATCTCTTGTGGGAGACTAGGCAGGAGATGGTAGAGATGGAGAGAAAAGGCTGGATTTATGGGATATTTAAATGTAAAACTTTAGTCAGAATTTAGAAATGGACTGAATGTGGAGGAAGAGGGAGGCATCATAAGTGCATCACTAGATCAGATGGGCGAGCCCTTCACTAAGATAAGGGATATGAGAAGACTACATTAAGTTTGGGGTCAAAGAACACATGATCAGGTTTGGAACAGAAAATAGGTTGGAGCAGGTTGAAGAGGGAAGGAAGAGGGAAGGAAATGGAGCAAGCACATGAGGACAATTCTTTCACTAAGTCTGGCTATGAAGTGGGGAAGAGAGTCGTTTGCAGGGAATGAGAAATTGAGTAATGTTTTGATTTAGTGGTCACTTTGGTGCTAATTTTACACCCCCCAAAATTTGGTATTATTAATTTCTTTTTCTAAATGAGGAAAATAGGGCACAGAGAGTTTAAGTAATTTTTTCAAAGACACAGAGTTAAGATGTAGGGATTTTATCATAGGTCTGACTTCAGAAACTGATCTCTAGCAACATTCGGACTAGTAAGCAAACTCATGACAGATTTAGAAAATTCTCACAGTTGGATTTGTACTACATGTGTTTGCTTTTAAGCCCTGGATACCATGTTAGTGTGCTTACCCATGTAGAAGACTGTAAAGAAATAATCAAGTTAGACCTCAAGAATGAATTAATCTGAAGGCCTTAGTTAAGGGCAGTGTAGCATAATTATTAAGATCATAGGATTTTTTAAAAATATATATTTTATTGATTTTTTTTACAGAGAGGAGGGATAGGGATAGAGAGTTAGAAACATCGATGAGAGAGAAACATCGATCAGCTGCCTCCTGCACACTCCCCACTGGGGATGTGCCCGCAACCAAGGTATATGCCCCTGACCGGAATCGAACCTGGGACCCTTGAGTCCCCAGGCCGACACTCTATTCACTGAGCCAAACCAGTTACGGCAAGATCATAAGATTTTTTATTTACAGCTGGCTATCAATAAAATGATATGAAAAATTCAGGACATAAAGGAATTTGTATTCCATCCTATAGCCATTTCTGAATCCAAACGCCTCATCCTTTCCACCCTGCTCATTAAGAACTTGCCAGTTGCTCTTGTTCTGTAGACAAATCATTATCCCTTCTCCCTCCCCATTCACAGATCATGAAAGCTACCATTTCCTAGAAAAATGTAGACATTATTCTTGAACTTGAGATGAACCAAAACACAGAGGAAACAGAAAACAAATAGCATTAGAAGACTCTAGTTTCTCTCTAGGGGTTTTTCAGCAAGGAGGGCTGAAGAAGACCAATAAATATAGGACAAAATGAGGGCCACCAGTAAGCAGTTGCCAGGTCAACGTCAGACCAAAGAGAGGCAACATACCTCGTTTCTGAAATAAATCTGGTCTCAGAAATACTTCTGCCCATTGTTATTGTGTTTCATTCACATTGGTTACCTACCTGTATGGCTCCAAGTGACCTCAACAACCCTCTCAGCACTGCAATAACCCACTCACTGGGTTATTAGGTGTGGGTAGATTGTCTTTACGGACTGTCTTCCAAGACAATTCTCCAAGGAAAACCAAGGAAGACTTAACCAGTGAGAACCTGGATGGTCACAGTTCTCCCCTCACTCTTACCTAGAAATGCCAGCATTTCCACTTGTAGGGTGTGAAGAGAATGCTACTGTGCTCTAGCTCCTGCCTTTCACAAATTCTAGGAAGGTAAGCAATTGCACAGGAAATATTCCTTATTAAGAAGTGGGCAACTGGCTATACAAATGAATAATCAAGCAGGCAATTAAAGTCACTTTACAGCCCCCAGGCCTCCATCTCAGCTCCAAAGAATGAGTGATAATTAGGGTTTGAAACCTTTCCTTATAATCGTGATCAACAACAGTGATGCTGCCATTCTCACAACTGTTGGGAAAAAATAGTAGGGATGCCCAGATGGAGAAGTGATCTATAGAGAAACGCCCATTTGTTTGTAAATCCCACTTCTATATGCTTTGTTGCAGCGGAAGCAACTGCATCAAGCTCATAAAGGCTTCAGGTCTTGACAGGATGAGAAAGAATGACAAGGACTTACCCTGGTCCCAGCTGCCATTTGAGGCCAACAAATATATAACTAGCTGTACTTGGCAACAAGATAAAGGGGATGTGCTTGTCAGAAGTCCTCTAATTTGATTATTTTCACCCCTTAGTGGGGTCACAGCTGCAATCCTTAGCATTCAACAAGAGTGACATATAGGGGGAGGAAATAGAAGCTGGAACGCTCTTTTTAGCAAAGTTGGACCAGGGGGACATTAGTCCCATTAAGTCCATGATCTGCATGCTCACATGGATATGGGGAGGAAGTGGTTCTTCCCCTATGAAGTAGACAAATTCTGAAAGCATAGGTCCTCATTTTATAGAGAAGTCTACTCTTTCATCTAGATGAATGGGAACAGAGCCAGGAGAATAAGATATGTTTTGGCCAATATTTCAACAAGTGTATGTATATTCAACTGGATTTTCTTTCAAAGTCTTTCAAAACAGTCATTTTGGGGATTAAGCAGTTATTGTTCATGAGACTGCTTTTACTGAACATATTTTTCAGATGCTTTTTTGAAATCGCTGTAAGACTCTGTTGCACCAGCAACGTTGATTGAAAACTTTTTCTGTGCCAGACACTGTTCTGGGGCTACAGTGGTGAACAGATTAAAAACACCTTTACTTGACAGTCACATCTCTATTAGCCAGAACTGATAATCTCCAAAGCATGTATCAGAGACCTTTCATTCCTTAAAAGTTTACATATTGTATTGGAAAAGTCTTTCTATAATAAGTCTGGAAATCACAGGATTATAAAGGCATCTCAACTACAGACATCAATAGAGCTTTAGTGGAAAATCCCCAAGGACAACCCTCTACTGAGCATTCCTTACAATTGTTTGGCCCCAGAACCCCTTGGTCAAAAACAGCCTGACCAGTGTTCTGAAAGCTACTAGCAGAATGACTAATACCTAATGTCTCATTGTAGCAGATAGATCCCCTCAGGCCTTATGATTGCAGAACTGGCAGGACATGTCTTTGCCTGAAGGTTTTCTCTGATACCCATGTCCATTGTCCACAGGCACAGCAGGCTGGAAGTAGGGATTATTAACAC